AGAGACACATGTAGAACACCCCCAGCATGAAGTCACAGCAAAGAATACATTTTGCCCGTAGTTATAGAACCAGTTATATAATGCCTTAAGTCGTTCAAACCCTGTTCACTAGTTCACACTGTGTTTTTATACTAAAAAAGTTTCATTCCAAATCAAGGACACTGCATTTTGTTTTACTATTGGGCTAATCACAGCCTGCTCCATTCACACAGCACTCACATAACACACTTTATACCCTCTCAGGCATCACGGATTTAACCACGTTTTAACTTCAGCAACTCCACCAGAGGAAACTGCAAAACACCAGAGGAATCTGCAAAAATCATGACCTCAGTGAGTGAGCTTGAATTAAACTTGATTAGATGAGTCAAGGTGAAAACAGCCAGTATAACAGGTCATGACCATTTCCTATTAAGAACCGAAGCTCTCAAAAAGTTAGCAACAAAAAAGTGTTTAAAAAAGAGAGAAAAAGTTGTTGCACTGAAAAACAAACACAAACAAACAAAAAGCCCTACAATATTCCAGAGTATGGCATTAAACTTGACCATGAAAGCAAAATAACTATGTTGCTGATCAGGTCTGTGGAGGGGCAAGCCCACTCACAGTTATTTATTTATTTTTTAATTTACACACCTGTAACTAGTTTTAATGTCATACTGTGGAACATTCCCAAAGCAATAACATAACTACAGACAAACAGGTGGTGAAACCTTTCCCAGAACAGGGGGTGAAGAAGTTGCTGATATGATACATACCTCGATACACAGGCAGTGTCGGGGAGTAACAGATTACATGTACCAGCGTTATGTAATCAGAGTACTTATTAGAGTAACTGTATTCAGTTACAGTTACTGTTTCAATGAGTGGTAATTGGATTACAGTTACTTTGTTGAAATAAATGGATTACATGGTGGTGTTTTCTTGTTTTCACATTTTGGGCTAAACCAGGACTAAACCAGGACTAAACCAGGACTAAACCAGGACTAAACCAGGACTAAAACCAGGACTAAACCAGGACTAAACCAGGACTAAAACCAGGACTAAAACCAGGACTAAAACAGGACTAAACCAGGACTAAAACCAGGACTAAAACCAGGACTAAAACCAGGACTAAACCAGGACTAAAACCAGGACTAAACCAGGACTAAACCAGGACTAAAACCAGGACTAAAAAAACCAGGACTAAAACCAGGACTAAACCAGGACTAAACCAGGACTAAAACCAGGACTAAAAAGGACTAAAACCAGGACTAAAACCAGGACTAAACCAGGACTAAAACCAGGACTAAAACCAGGACTAAACCAGGACTAAACCAGGAACCAGGACTAAAACCAGGACTAAAACCAGGACTAAAACTAAACCAGGACTAAAACCAGGACTAAACCAGGACTAAAACCAGGACTAAACCAGGACTAAAACCAGGACTAAACCAGGACTAAAACCAGGACTAAAACCAGGACTAAAACCAGGACTAAAACCAGGACTAAACCAGGACTAAACCAGGACTAAAACCAGGACTAAAACCAGGACTAAAACCAGGACTAAAACCAGGACTAAACCAGGACTAAAACAGGACTAAACCAGGACTAACCAGGACTAAACCAGGACTAAAACCAGGACTAAACCAGGACTAAACCAGACTAAAACAGGACTAAAACCAGGACTAAAACCAGGACTAAACCAGGACTAAACCAGGACTAAAACCAGGACTAAACCAGGACTAAACCAGGACTAAACCAGGACTAAAACCAGGACTAAAACCAGGACTAAACCAGGACTAAACCAGGACTAAACCAGGACTAAAACAGGACTAAAACCAGGACTAAACCAGGACTAAAACCAGGACTAAACCAGGACTAAAACAGGACTAAAACCAGGACTAAAACAGGACTAAACCAGGACTAACCAGGACTAAAACCAGGACTAAACCAGGACTAAAACCAGGACTAAAACAGGACTAAACTAAACCAGGACTAAAACCAGGACTAAACCAGACTAAAACCAGGACTAAACCAGGACTAAAACCAGGACTAAAACCAGGACTAAAACCAGGACTAAACCAGGACTAAAACCAGGACTAAAACCAGGACTAAAACCAGGACTAAAACCAGGACGGACTAAACAGGACTAAAACCAGGACTAAAACCAGGACTAAACCAGGACTAAAACCAGGACTAAACCAGGACCAGGACTAAAACCAGGACTAAAACCAGGACTAAACCCTAGGACTAAACTAGGACTAAACCAGGACTAAACCAGGACTAAACTAAAACCAGGACTAAAACCAGGACTAAACCCAGGACTAAAAACCAGGACTAAACCAGGACTAAAAGGACTAAAACCAGAACTAAAACCAGGACTAACCAGGACTAAAACCAGGACTAAACCAGGACTAAACCAGGACTAAAACCAGGACTAAACCAGGACTAAACCAGGACTAAACTAAACCAGACTAAAAACCAGGACTAAACCAGGACTAAAACCAGGACTAAACCAGGACTAAAACCAGGACTAAAACCAGGACTAAAACCAGAACTAAACCAGGACTAAACCAGGACTAAAACCAGGACTAAACCAGGACTAAAACCAGGACTAAACCAGGACTAAATCCAGGACTAAACCAGGACTAAACCAGGACTAAAACCAGGACTAAAACTAAAACCAGGACTAAAACCAGGACTAAAACTAAAACCAGGACTAAACCAGGACTAAACCAGAACTAAAACCAGGACTAAACTAGGACTAAACCAGGACTAAAACCAGGACTAAAACCAGGACTAAAACCAGGACTAAACTAGGACTAAACCAGGACTAAACCAGAACTAAAACCAGGACTAAACTAGGACTAAACCAGGACTAAAACCAGGACTAAAACCAGGACTAAAACCAGGTCTAAACTAGGACTAAACAAACAATATGACACCTAACAGTAGAGTGGACATAATTGTGATCTCATATAGAAAGCATTTCTCTATCAATAATATTTATAACATGGTTAAGTAAAGACTGAACAAACAAGAATTTTCAGGATGTGGTTGGTTCATTCATGTAGTTTTAAAAAGCATGACAATATCAAGTAATCCAAAGTACTCAGATTACGTTACTCACTTTAAGTAATTTCATGGATTACGTTACAAACTACATTTTGATGTATGTAATCTGTAATCTGTAGTGGAATACATTTTAAAAGTCACCTTCCCACTGTACTTAGGCCACAATACAATACAGTGCACTTTCGATTCGTTACGATATATTTCAAATTGATTCGATACGGTTCAATAAAAAACTAATGTTTAAATCATGGCTTTTTGTTCATGTGAAACACAAACATTTTAATCGTCAAAACAATGAAAATGTCAAATGTGTTGCATAATCAAGTTTCCTTCCTCTGAACAAGCAACAAAACTGTAGATGTAACAAAATTATTTAGTAAAATATACCAAAAAATACTCTTGGCGATATATTGGTACAGCAGCCCACAATATTGATACTGTATCATCACATTAAATTATACAATATTCCAATATTTTTGCACAACCCAACCCCAGAGAAGTTACATATTGCATGTTTAAGAACAGAGTTTTTCCAGTGCAGTTTACTCTTCCCCTGCCCCTCACCACCACCAGGAACTGCACACTTCACTTTGTTTATTTTATCTTTTCATTTTCAAACAAACATGTTCAGACTTTAACCCCATGTGCTTCTCTCTCTTTCTCACCTCCCTCTCCCAACCTCCCCTCTCTCTCCCTCTTTGCCCCCTCTCTCTTTCTCTCTGTGTCTCTTTGTCTCTCTCACTCTTTCTCTGTCTCCCTCTTTCTGTCTGTCTCTTTCTCTCTCTCTCTCTCTCTCTCTCTTCCCCTCTCTGTCTCTTTCCCTCTGTCTCTTTTTCTCTGTCTGTCTCTCTCCTCCATCTCTTTCTTCCATCTCTCTCTCCACCTGCTCCATCTCTCTTTTCTCCCTCTCTCTCTCCATCTCTTTCCCTCCCTCTCCATCTCTCCCTCTCTCTCCCTCTTCATCTCTCTCTCTCCCTCTTCATCTCTCTCTCTCCCTCTTCATCTCTCTGCCTCTCTCTCCATCTCTCTCTTTCTCTTCCTCTCCATCTCTCTCCCTCTCTCTTCCTCTCCATCTCTCTCCCTCCCTCTCCTCTCTCTCCTCTCTCCATCTCTCTCCTCTCTCCCTCCCTCTCCCTCCTCTCCTCCCTCTCCATCTCTCTCCTCTCCCTCTCCATCTCTCTCCCTCCCCTCTCCATCTCTCTCCCTCCTCTCCATCTCTCTCCCTCTCCCTCCTTCTCTCTCCCTCTCTCTCCCTCTCCATCTCTCTTCCTCTCTCTCTCTCTCTGCCTCTCTCTCCATCTCTCTCCTTTCTCTCCTCTCCATCTCTCTCTCCATCTCTCTACCTCTCCTCCCTCTCCCTCCCTCTCCATCTCTCTTCCTCTCTCTCTCTCTCCTCCCTCTCTCTCCCTCTCCATCTCTCTCCCTCTCTCTCCATCTCTCTTCCTCTCTCTCTCTCTGCCTCTCTCTCCATCTCTCTCTTTCTCTTTCTCTTCCTCTCCATCTCTCTCCCTCCCTCTCCATCTCTCTCCCTCTCTCTCCCTCTCCATCTCTCCCCTCTCTCTCCATCTCTCTCTCCCTCTCTCTCTCTCTCCCTCTCTCTCCTCTCTCTTCCTCTCTCTCTCTCTCTGCCTCTCTCTCCATCTCTCTTTCTCTTCCTCTCCATCTCTCTCCCTCTCTCTCCCTCCCTCTCCATCTCTCTACTCTCTCCTCCCTCTCTCTCTCTCTCTCCTCCCTCTCTCCTCTCTCCATCTCTCTTCCTCTCCCTCCCTCTCTCTCTCTCTCTCCATCCTCTCCCTCTCTCCATCTCTCTACCTCTCCCTCTCTCTCTCTCTCTCCACCTCTCCATCTCTCTCCTCTCTCTCTCTCCATCTCCCTCCCTCCTCCCTCTCTCCCTCCCTCCTCCCTCCTCTCTCCCTCTCTCTCTCTCTCTCTCTCTCTCTCCACAGAGGACACAGCGTTTGAGGCGGGGGTGCGCGTGCAGATCCACAGTCAGGCTGAGCCGCCCTTCGTCCATGAGCTGGGCTTCGGCGTCGCTCCGGGGTTCCAGACCTTCGTGGCCACTCAGGAGCAGAGGGTGAGTTTGTGTGTTTGCCTCATCCAACACTAATGCCGTATATCCTCATATCTTTATCAAATACCTCCTGTGCACACTCTGCCTCCTGTCCACGTCTGCGCCCCGACACATCACTCGCACGCATCAGGAATGAGGAAGAGCTGCGGAAAACGGTACCATGGGATGTGTAGTTGCACGATAAAAGGAAATCTACTTGGAGAACAAATTTTAGATGGAAGGAAGCGCTGTGCAGAAGTGCGTGTTAAAATGACAGTACAGCAATTACAGGCAAAAACGTCAATAAACACATGATTTATCAATGTTACAGGATTTTCAACACTCTAGTGCTCGTGTTTCGCAGCAAAAACATTACAAGTGTTGGCATGTTTCTCCCTGTGTCTAGATGGGTTTCCTCTGTTCAACCCAAAACATGCACAATAAGTAAAATCCTTCAACTATGATAGACTAAGATGAATAAAGTGTACAGCTCCTATATTACACAAAATGTACTCTCGTGAGCTTTGTGATATAATGTTGTTACCTCGTCAAAAACAGACCGAGAGTTGTGTTTTGTTTCACTCACACATGTTTCAGTAATTCTTTAGTATCAGTCTGTCTACATCATTGTTTCCCAAAGACTGGGTCACAAGAGATTTTTTTGGGGTCACCTTGTCATTATCTACATGTAGTTCTGACACATATACTGTCATTTCTGGACAATAAGCCTCTACTACTTTTTTTCTTACACTTTGAACCCTGCGGCTAATATATGGATGGATTCTTTGTTTGGCACAGTGTCCATTCATATATACAGTCTATTGTTTGGCAACACAGCGGATACGAGCAGCCTGACCTGAGTGCAGAAAACGCAGCTCTCTGTGCAGGTAACCGGAAGAGTCTGAAATCTGCTGTAATCCTCCAAGACACTGACATGATACAGACAGAACAGCATTTCTTGCTATAGGAGACATGCACAGCAGAGCACGGGGATAGACGGGCTGATGCACCGAGGAAGATGTTCGTTTGATTGTGTTTTGAACAGTTACACACCCTCTTCATGGAAAATACATGAAGAAATACAGATGATGCAGCTCTTAAGTTAACAGCAACTGATGAGGCTGTGGAAGAAGGAAATAGAGCTGCTGCACGTGAGCTCGACATCAATGAGTCGATGGTGAGATTTTGGCGACGGTACTGTGACGAACTGACTCAATGAAAAAAGATGACAAAAACTTTCAGAGGTGATAAAAGCAGATGGCCCGAATTTGAAAACGTTCTTGAAGATGTGGACACCTGCGGCATATATTCTGGTGTGGCTTTTATATGTACAATTTTAAAATTTAGTTAAAATTTTGTTGATCTGGCGTATATTGAGGTCTGCTCAATTACAGTCCTGACACATGAGAGAGCTAGTGAGTAAGCAAATATATTATGGTCATTCTGGATAAGCATTTTGTCAGTATTTCTCTGCTTATTCCTTTCACTACTACATATATGTGCGAATTGGGATTTTCTGTGCTCACAGAAATGAAGACAAAACACAGAAACAAATTGAATCCTGCACTTGATATGTGTGTTGCGCTCTCCTCCTGCACCCCAGAGTGAAACGCGCTACAAAAACACACAAGCCCACCTATCTCATTAGAAATGTTGCAATGTTAAGACATGTTTGGTGTAATTTATAATATTTTTCAAATTATTTTACTGACTATTTTGTTTCAGTATTGGTGGTTCAATTAAATGTTGAAAATAAAAAGAAATGGGCTACATTTAAAGGGACAGTTTTGGACATAGGACCTCATTTCCTAGTGAGCCAGAGTGCTGGAGACATGTGGAGACTTTTTTTTACATATTCCATCCAGTCCTTGTATTTGCAGAGGTTGTACTTCCTGATAGAAAGCTTGGCCGTGGTGGACTGATATATGAAAAAATTGTCCCTCAACATTCATGCGATGCAAGGTTAGTTTTATTTCAAACTTTATTCTATTGACACAGACATTCACATGGACAGTCTGGCATAATAATCGATTTGCTTCAGGTGCTTTGTGGAGTGGGTAAAACAGTTTTTAGTGGCAGGCTAACTATGGCCATTGACATGCACTAGCCTAGCACCTGCGACCTCTACAAATACAAGGACTGGATGGAATACTTTTTTTTTAAAAGTATCTCCACACTATGGATAACTAGGAAATGAGGTCCTATGACCAAAATTCCTAACTGTCCCTTTAATGTCCAAATAAGCACCTTATGGAGTAATACTAATTGTTCAGAAAGACACGATCACTCAGTCAGCAATAAAATATCCTCATTAATGTTCAATAATGGTCAAATCCACCTTTATTTTGAGATTTCCAAATAATGTCTATTGACTTGGGTAATGAAGGTTTGTGACTTTTAAAATACAGGTCCCCAGAAAAAAAGTTTGGGAAACACTGGTCTGCATCTCCAAAGTTCAAAATGGTCTGTTCCATCATAGTGTTGTAGTTTTCAATTTAACAGCTCTTTTTACCTTTAGTTAGAGTTTGGTAGAGATTGGCAATTCCAGGGCTGAAATCCTGCAAGTGATTCTGGTGAAGATGTTTGGAGTTTAAAACACAATGGAGCACTTCCTGTATTACCGCACAACATCACGAGGTGGAACAGCAATTTCTGTTTGAGAGAAGAATTCTAAATATGCAGGGTGTGTGTATTAAACCTGTGCGAATAAAATAAAACACAACTCCAGGTTTGTTTTTGATGAGGAAACAACATTAAAACATAGATCAAAAAATATTGTAATATGGTATAGATGGTTAGAAAATGCTTATATTCCACCTATACATTGATCTTACAACTTTCACTGTCTTTATTTTAAGCTTTAACCTGCCCACACATTATAATATCATCCATTTCCAGGCTGACTGGGCTCAGAATACCAAACTGCTTCAAAAAACCTCATAGATATTGGCTTGTCTTATCCTTTAACTTTCAGCACAGACTGATGACATCGTTAGGAGGTGACGGATTCTTCTCCGGACAGACTTGGAACTGTTTGTGTGACGGCCGCACCTCCTCTCCGCTCTCGTGGCTCTTGTTTTCTGACAGATGATGAGTCCCCGTGAGCCTCTCTGCACTGTGACCTTCATGCTGTGGAGGTTTCCAGTCTAATCCGGCCCCACTCCTTCATCCATTAGCTGTGTCCCATCAAGCACAGCCCATAACTCACAGCAGCCCGGTCAACCGGCGCTTCAGATGTAAATGCTCTTGTGTACACCAATACAAGGTTGTACAACTGCTTATGGCTCAACTTTTCAATAATAACGTGTAAAGTCTTTGTTTGTCTCATGGTCATTTTTAAAAGACTCATTTTACACTCTTCTCTAATCTGTGATAACACTGTTTCTTCATCACAAACAGACCTGGAGTTGTGTTTTGTTTACACATTTACACATGTTTAACACACTAACCCTGCATTAGGCTGAGTTCTTCTCTCAAACAGAAAACATGAAGTGCTCCACTGTGTTTTTAAACTCCATAAACCTTCACTAGAATCATTTCAGCCCCTTTAACAGATTTTTCTCTTTCAAATCCAAATCCACTTTATTTCTATAGCACATTTTACAAACAAAGCAGTTTCCAAAGTGCTGCACAGAGATTAAAAAAATGAAGATCACGAAAAGGTAAATTGTTAAAATTTGGTCATACAAGTCCTAAAACAATACAACCAGACAAATCAAATAAAAGCTAAACCATAACTATCATAAAATAGCAGTAAATAAGTAACATAAATAAATAAAATAAATAAAAGATAAAAGACACAGAGGACCACATAACTCACAAGGTGTTCAAAGCCAGAGAATAAAAGTCAAGGGAACTGTCTGAGCTGATGCATTTCTGTATATCCTTTTTCTTTTTGTATTTGACATATTTGACAAAAAATTCAACATTACAGTAGATACATAATGGCTAATATACTTGTTAATATAAAGTGTGTTTCTGGAGTCCATGGTGTTATCAGTTGGTCTATATGGAGTCAAAATGTTTCCTTTTGTCCGCACTGCTTGTTTTGCAATGATGTCACTATAAACAAGCTCAAAATAAACCTCTCAGCCAACAGACTTAGACTTAGACAAACTTTATTGATCCACAAGGGAAATTATTTAAATTCAGGGAAACTCAGCTGCTGTCAAACTTTACTTAAGGAAAATGACTTTAATTAATGAATTACTTACTTTACTGCTTTGCAATTCAGTTGCAGTGGAGTAGAAAGTAAATATACCTGCTCTCAAGTAAAAGTAAAAAGCATCCTCTGTAAAAATTAACTTTCATACTTTTGCTACTGCTGGCATTTAGTGTGCTAGAATCTTCAAGACTTCATTACATAAATGCCTGAAAGCACATTCGTATATTGTTTAAACTTCTATACAAAGACTTTTCCCTTTGAAAACAAGAATACAAAAATCATTAGGGACAATTTTAGTCAAACTGTCATTGTTTTATGTAAAACAAAAAAATGTAATGTAGTTCATTTTGTGCTCTGGAGCAGTTGAGCAGTCCTCACACAGAGTCTAGCGCTGCCGCTCGGCCTGCTGGGTAATGAGCCCCATGGGTTCCACTCTGCGTCTGTGAGTGGCAGGACTGCAGCAGGGCTCTGACGTTCTCCTGCTGGGCAAACAGCGCCCCCTTCTTCCTCCGGGCTGACACTGCGGGGAGCACGACACATTTAGTTGCTGCTAATTAATGCAGAGCTGCACTTTGTCTCAGAACTAACAGAGACACCTCCCACCGAGCACAGATCCACCTGTGTCTCCCCTCTCCTTATCTGCTCCTCCCCACAGGACGCACTCAAATACAGTCAAAACTGCACAAGCCCCGGCCGCGAGAGTCTGAGAAAGAGGGATTTCTGGAGGCACTAATAACTCTGTCTGTGAAAATGACTTTGAGACAGAGTTTAATTCCACTGCTTTGGTTTATAATGCCGCTGGAGTTCAAAGCAGCGCAGGGTGAGTCTTCTGTTGCACGGGGCATTTGAGTTTAAGCCC